CTCTGAATTTCCTCTTATAACCAGTCTTCTTTATTTTTTAAGATGTTTTAATAAGCACCAAGTATGTTAAATAAAAAAGGAAAAAAATGCATCTAAAATATATCCTACATTTTGACGCACTTTCAAATCAAGGGACTTCAAGTGGGTTAAGATGCTACAAGAACATCTATTCTGAGACAGAAGTTTTGTCTTGCTACTCTGTGTCACACCAGAGTACATCAAAAGATGGTTTGGAAGATATCACAGATTCTCATGAAAGACAGCCACGTGTCTCCAGAGATCTCCCCAGCAGCAAAGAGTTATGGAGACAAGGGGAGAACCAGCAGGAATTGTGTCAGAACCCATCCGCAAACAGATGCTGCTGTACAAGTGTTACAGCAGGGCAGAACAGGTGACTGAGACACAGCAACAGTTGGATCTCTGTAAGATTTACTCTGACACTGCAAATAGATGAGCCTCTTGTCTGTTTTGACTGCTTTATTTGATTAGCCCTGTCAGGAGTGAGGTCAGGCCAAGCGCTTATGGTCATTAAAAGATGAAAGCCACACATCAGGGAAGCATCATTTTGGAAAGAAAAAGGTAAGGATGTCACTAACCAGCTAAGCTTTCATTCAAATTTGGATTGTTGTGCTGCCTTCCAGTGCTTCTATTTTCTTCAACAAAAGACTTAGTTCTGCAGCAACTTTTGCAGCATTGCTTACCATGACCTGTGGTTTTAGGGTAACATATTTGTTTCCTTTTCCTCTGAGACCATGAAGGGTCACATCAGCCTGACACAAGGGTGACCATGGTCATCACGTCCAAAGGGCCATCCCAAAGTGAAACAGAGAGAAAACATTTATGTTTTCAACATAAATATGTATGTTTTCAACCACCATAAACAGCTAGTGGGAGCAGAAATTCTTCAGTGAGACACAAAGGCTGACATGAAACCCAGGTTTCTGTTGCACTTCTTTCTCTCAAGAGCAGTTGTGCCTTTTTGATCCAGGGATTTTATTTTGGAAGCACACAAAACATTTTTTTTAAATGGAGCCATGGAAGCTGAATGATGCTTGCCCTGTTGAAAACTATGCAGAACTACTAAGAAACTAAAATATTCCAAGGCGATTAGACCTTGACCTTAAGTCTTAAGAGGCAGGCAGGAAGATTAGCCAAAGAAAACATTCTCAGACAAATGTTTCATGATTGCTATGATCTATCTTATAAAAACCTATCTTTAGTCAAAAATCATGTGGTGGGGACACATCTAAAAGCTAAGATGTGTGTGTGCCCTGTGTTCTCTGATCCAGGTTTGACAAACTAAGAACTTGAAGTTTCAGTTTTACTTGGAAGTTAAGACACTACCAATATGTGCTGTTCAAGTTTCCCCTGGAACAAAGAGTCTCATTTATAGCTAATACTGTGTAAAGTTGCATCAGCTCAGCAGTTACAGAACAGACTATTTAAGTCAGGTCAGATTCTCAAAATTTTCCCCCACAAAATCAATTTTTCAAATAGGAACCCTGTACTGATACAACTGTTCATTTTACAAGAAAAAGGTAGACATGTTTTATTTAAATGCTCATAGCTAACTTAAAGACCTTGCAAATTTAAAACAATCCCACTGCAGTCTTCTTAACCGATGTCCTCAATTTTCCTTCTTAGACAGCCAAATGAACTAAGGGGATACTCCCACCCCAGCACAGTGGGAGTACCTGTGGCTCTCCCACTTCTCTCCCCCAAAGGAACTCTCAAAGGATATCTCTGTGGTACTGGCACTGGTGTGTGCTCTGCATGTGGCACTGGGCAGCAGCACAAACATGCTCTTCATTGCCTTCATCAGAGATCATGAAGATTTCTCTGGGGACCCCACAATCCAACAAATTGTCATTTTCTTCTCCCTCATCTGCAGGCACCTGCCTTTTCCCTGAGACTGCAATTTCCTTGAAGATAGAGAAGCCAACTTGTTTACTACCCCCTTTCCATCAGCCTTGCTCAGGAAAGAGGAAGAAGGACGTAGTATTGAATTTAATTACAATTCACCGGCAAAAAAGGTGTGAAAAGGGAAAATGTTGCCGCCTTGTACTGAAGGTACGCAGAAGTCAGAAGTATCCAAGAGATACTTGAAGGGACATGAAGCCTTTTCAAGAAATACCTTGAGTGGACACTACCCACCATGTGCAAACCCTGCTCCTTACCTCTACAGGTGTGAACTGCCATCCTTTCTGCTCTTCGCTTCTGACTGCCTCTCCCTCCACATGCGCTTGACAAATTCCTGTCATCAGCCAGAACTGGTTAGAATAGAACAAAAAAACTCCCCAGCACTCTGGAAGAGCATTTATCAACTGCAAAGCAAAATAAATATCACTTATTAATTAGCCTTGTTTTTAACTCCCTTTTTGATGCATTTTCAGACTGGTTGAGAAGAAACTCCAGATAGGGCTTATGCAGAACTCAGTGCAGCTTTTATATACACCAGGAGGCACTGCTGCATAGTCCAGGTCTAATGCAATTCACAGGGATCCATCCATATGCTGAGATTGAGGGAAGTTCAGTTTTCAAGGGTCCTTTTGTTCCTTCTGTGATTATCCAGTTCATGTACTCCTCAACCATTCAATTGAATCACATATTTCAATTCCATCCCTGAGTAAGTTACATTCTTGGCTTTCCATTTCAATTTCCTCAGGGCAAATAAAACTGATGGAAAGCTTTTTGACAAAGGTATGGTTATTTCATCCAGTAGCCCGAGACGACTCCAAATCTGGATATGACATTTAATGTTTCTGGGACAGGTGCTCTTAAGTCTTTTCACAGGAGCAGAGTATCATCTGCATAGATTAGTAACTTCTGTGTCTCAAGTTGCATATGCTTTACATACTCTTAAGTTTTCAGAGATATTGCTGATAATTTAATACTACAGGGGCACCTCAAACATTTTTCATCACAAAGCAGTGGAAAGGATAACTGTGAAAGCAAAGAGGCAGAACATCTTATGCATTTATTTGCTTCAGCAAAAGCTACAGCAGTGAGACACTGCTCTGAGGGCAAACTACCCAAGCCCTCCTCTACTTAATCACAGAAACCTGAAGAACCAAAGCTGCTGCTCATAATCAGCTTTTAGGCAACTAAGATTTTATTCAGTTCAGCTGCTGTGCTTCTGAGCACTGTCCTCTCACTGTTCCGGAGCTTATGGACAGGACCTTTCCAGCAAGGACAAGTGCTGAGTGCTCCATGACCATGGCTGTTCTAAGGGAGAACTGCTATGCAGCCAGAATTGAGGCTCAGTAACATAACAAGGTGTGTAGAGAATAAAGGCAGTGAAAAGCCAACTGAATTTTTCAGAGACAAAAGGCAGTTCAGTCACACTTGTAACAAGTATTTGTAAGCTCACAGCAACAGAATCACTTGAGAACTGCTGCATTTCCAGCAGTTGCATGGAGCTCCTTACAGAAGGCCTCATGTGATGAACTTTATTCCTGTGTTTGTTAATGAGGAGCAGAATCACCAATTTGGTAGTTACTCCAGTATTTACAAGCCCTTAATGACATGTCCTTTTGTAGTCAGAAAAAAAAGAAAACCTTCATTAACAAGTTCTGTTTGTGGCTGCAAAAAGTATGTAATGTACACACAAAACATATAAAATGTTTTTAAGCTGAAGGAGGGTAGATTTGGATTATATGTTAGGAAGAAATTCTTTATGGTGAGGGTGGGGAGGCACTGGAACAAGTTGCCCAGAGAAGTTATGGATGTCCCACCCTTGCTAGTGTTTAATGCTAGGTTGGATGGGACTTTGAGCAACCTGGTCTAGTGGAAGGTGTCCCTGTCCACAGCAGGGAAGCTGGAACTGGATGATCTTTAAGGTTCTTTCCAACCCAAACCATTCTATGATTCTATGAAATATATAAATGTACAGTGTCACACATCCCCCCATTTCCCCATGAGCAACTCATAAACTCTCTCTTTCTTTAACTCCTCTGTTCTTTAAAACACCATTCTTAAAAACAATGATTATAAACTTCCATCTGGGAAAGAACCCTTTGCTCAGAGAGGGATGAAAGGGCTCCTTTTTACTTCCAGACAAGCACAGGATGAAACAAATACACCACGACGTGATCCACTCACGAGCATAACTCAAGCACTGCTGGATCAGAAGTTTTTACAGGTAACACACAGGAAAACAAAAACACAGTTTGCATGTGCGCATCTGTCTATATATTTATGGAGGAAAAATATAAACACCATCAGTCCATGTTCTCACCTGGTCTTACACACCACAGACAGGACATCATGAATTCACATAACATTTCTTACCTGGGTGGATAAACCACTTTTCCAGATTGCCTGCTTTGCACTTTAGGACTGTAATTATGTAACAAAACCCTCTGAATACTGTGCTGTTATTGTGGTTATTAATCATTCTGCTTCTCTTTAAAATATGTGCTCTAGATAGGCTGCATTATGTTACAAACTGAGTACCAAGACAAAACACATCTGAATCTTAAGGACATTTCAATGTAATTTACTCTTTAAATTTGTATTTTTGCAAGCTCAAAAATATAAAAAAATATATAAAAAAAAAAAGCTGGTGTCCCTATAGCTGCTGACCTTTGCAACTGTAAACAAAAGACAGCTTTTAAGCAGTAAACAACTTTGCAAATATGAAACCTGTTTTGCCAGTGCTTGGAATAGTCAGCATTTAAGATGACAGACTCTACATACAAATCAGTTCTCACAGAAATACAAATTTCTAGATGTGCTCAGAGAGAATGCAGGATTTCTGTGACCTCAGATCATAGAAACCATTTATGTAAAAAAACGTACTGTGTTAAAACTGAATTAATAAATTTAAAAAAACAAACCAAAAAAGTGGGAAACTCCACCACATTAGGCCCTATTCTAGAATAAAATTCCCTTTAAAAGCACCACCTTGAAAATAATACAAAGCTCCCTTGACTTCATAAGGACTTCACAGAGGCCCACAAGTCCAAATTAGAAGACACATGGAGTATTTTAAGCCAAAATAAGTTAAATATCTAGCTTCCTTTTTATTAGGCAGCAATGCTCTAAATTCAGTTGCCTTGAACATGTTCATATACACATCCTATACTCTAAATCAATATTAATTTATCATATATTCCTTACAAAGAGCCAACAGGCACCAGGTGGACTAGATTTTCTTTAATTTAGCCACGTACGTTGGACCCCACGCTCTCCCTCTCTCTGGAAGCACCAGAAGTTCATGCTGCTGCAAGCCATCAAGAAGAGTGAATTCCTGAGAAACAGCTCTGCCCATTTCACTTATATCCACAGGCATAACATTGCTGCAGGAGTTTAGAATGAGGTTTATCACATCACTGTTTTCTGCCTTTGAGAGAGTGCATGTAGAATACACCAAGGATCCACCAGGACGCAGTGCTTTAATAGCAGACCTGAAAATAGCAAAAACAAAAAAAAAGAAAAAAGGGAAAAAAAGTCAACATAAAAGTGACATTCTGGTGTAGGAGAACATGTAAGGACTTATAAATCTAGAGTGTAAATAAATACGACAAAAATAACACTATGAAAATGCCTTAACAGCATATAATTGTACAGGAAACTACAATTTTGTTTTCTCATTTATTATTGTACTCTCAGTTAACTGAAGGTATTTTTTTACACAGCAGTGACAACTATAAAGCAGCATCCATTCAGAGCTGCAGAAGATATTTCAGACGTTCACATGCTGTGAAAATGCTGCAACTGTGCGTACAGAATGAATTGCGCCACATCAAACGTGTTGGTTGGATCCTGAGCTGGCTGCTTGCATGAACAAATATCAGAATGTACACTTGCACTAATGGCCTGAACTAATTACTGGGTTGTAATTTTAGAAACATTTCTGGAAATTCTGCAATTTATTTATCAGGTAAGAGGACTTGGGGGTTTCACTGAGTCACTACTTTTCGACCTGATTTCCTAAGGATCATATGTTCTTTATGTGCCCTTCACCTAACTGATCTGTTGACAAATTTTGACTCAACAAAGGCAAAATAGTGGCTTAAAGCCTGAAAGCTTTATAACGAGTGGTGGGTGAAGGGAACAGAGGTTCTTTATCATTTTACCACTGAAACTGAGTTTAAACAAACTGCTTACTTTGCATTAAAGCAGATCTGCAAAGTCCTTATTTCAGCAACATAAAATATAACCTATGAGAGTTAGAAGTGATATTCAAGCCATATTCACCTATTGCAAATTAAGAAAGTAAGGAGAAAAATCCAAAATCTTGCACCACAGAAGAACATTCTTCAAATCTAATACCACCATATTACTAAAAGAGAAAGCTACAATAAAGGTGCATTTGCTATTAAATCCCATTAAATTATACATTTTGGAGCCTTGAAGGACATATGGCTCAAAGACTGAATTGTAAGCTAATATCCAAGCAGATACTACTGGGCTGAAGCAAATACCACAGTAAAATACAATTGCTCCTTCTATTTGTTTAAAAACAAGAGAATCTGAACAAGTGAATGATGTTACTCAGCTTACGAATATCAGAGAGACAACAAAGGTAAGGGCTGAGAGGACTGAAAGTGAGTCACTGGGAATTTAGGAGGTGCAGGAGGTGCAGGGATACTGGAAGCATGGATCACAATGACATAGTCACACTGTATGGAAAGACACTGAATAATCACAGATTTGTAGATATTACTGACAATTCTGTGTTCACACACACCCCAGAAAAAAATGTGCTGGGAAAAAATAAAAAGAAGAAAAACAAAACCAACCAAACAAAAAACAATAACAAACTCTTCAAACTAGAAGAGGTGAGCAGCCTCCAAATGCAGAAAGTCTGATTCCAAGCCCAGACAAACAAATACAATGCCATTGAAACAGCATTTCCTCCAGAGACAAGCTGAGAACTTCCTAAAGGTGATTTCTGAACAAAAGCAGTTGAGAAAGGAAAGAAGAAAATATAAGGGGGAAAACATAATCCCTTTTGACAGAACTGGGACTTTTCAGGAAAAGAATCAATAAAGAAAAGCTTCATCACAAGCAGGATCAAAGCCAATCAGAGATCAAAGCTGCACTGAAAGTCCTGTCCGAAATAGGAAGGAAACACCAGGACAAATTATTGTTTCAGACAGGTAAAAACTAAATCTGCTTCTCTTGGGAGTATACACATCACCTCATTTATTTTATGAGTCTTGATTATGTCAATCAGCAAGCCAAGTATGTATTTGACTGAAGTTCATGCTTTTCCAGTTTTAGTAAAAGAACAGAGCTCTCTCAACTGATGATGCTGTAAGAAAAATAAGTGTTTAATGCCTCTGTTGTATCAGTAAAAAGATGGAGAGTGAGCAGATGGCTGGCACATTTAGCCTGAGTAAGCTGTTCAAGTTCAGTCTGTTATAGGTAAAAAACAGGTTACAGTGCACTTAGGTAGTCTAAATATTTTCAATTTAACTGGGCCTGGTGGACTCATTCCAGGATACTTTGAAAATTAGTAAGACATATCACAAAACTGCAAGCTTATCTCACACCTCTGAGTAGCTTTTGAAAGCCTGCAAAATGTTTAAGAATGTTTCTGTCACAGACAGGTATAGCACAACATTTACACTGCCACCTTGAGACAGCAAAAGAGAGCAGCTGTAATCCTAATGTCCTCATGCCCGTTCTGGGAAATCTAAAAGCATTTTTTCCCTCATGTAACAGATCTTACTTTCTGGCTTTCACATTAGAACTCAAAGAGAACAGGGCTGAAGTCTAAATGGGCTCTCATAAAGTTAAGCTGATCTTATTATTATCAGAATCCAGTTAGATAACTCATTTTTGACAAAATTTTCCCCTCCAGCTACACCTTTTCCATGTGTGCAGCAGTGCCAAGCCATGAGAGGGTATCTAGAAATGCCTGAAAATGTTTTGACCTGACAATCAAGATATAATTTTAGCACAAATGATAATTTTACTCACAGAAGCAGATAATGGCACTCCTTTCCTACCTATAAGGCAGGTACTATATAAGCATTTAGACAAGTGAGAAAATACTTTTACCATGTAAAAATGGAAAAGGTAAAGCTATATACATACATATATTTATATATAAAAGTAGTTGAAGCTACTGCTTACAGGGTTAAAAGCCTGGAGACTTGGTAAGTGTCCATTTCTTACCATACAGAAAGTAACATATAGCCATATGAAAGTAATTTTCAAAGTCACCATGCTCCTACAACTGAGTCCACCAGAGCAGCACAGGCCTCTGAATGCAAGCTTGAAAATCTCACATCAAAACCTGTCTAAGCCTCCTCATCCTGTGAATCTGCACTGGCCCATGACCCAAAAAGGTTGGCCTGCTCACTGCAGGTGTCTTTATTTTGAACCTAAATCATGAATTAAAATATCTGAGGAGAATTATTTTCCACTGCAAGGTTAATCAATGTATCTATCCATCTTGTCAAGTCCAGCAACACTTGTTTCAGTGCCTGTGCTCAAAGTCAGACCTGATTAAGCCATACTTGGCTTTTGATAAACCTGCACTGAGCTGCAAAATTCAAAGTGAAGAAGTGCCAGGATCAAAGTCACAGAGTGAGACTGCACTGGGTGAGCAGATTCAGGGAGTTTGGTCCTCTCCTCATCAGCATGACAGAGAATTCAGTCATAAGGGAATCTGTCCAAATAAATTTAAGGAACTAGCCTTCCTCTCTAATCAGTGGAGAGAAACAAGTGCATCCAAGGGATAGGCTGGACGTGAAACAGATCCCACCAATGCTACTATAACTCCACCATCTAAGAATGTAAGATTCCTCTTTCACCGGGAATCTTGATTATGCCCCAAATCCTTACTTAAAGCGCAATTCTTAGTTTAAGAAATTTAGTACCTGCTATAAGGTACTTTGTAACTTCCAAAACCAGGCTTCAAATCTAGTATGACTAAAAAAGATGCCAGGGCAAATGACCCTAAAGTACTTTTTCACCTTCCTCCTATTATAATACCTTGTTTAAAAGTAAAACACATTAACTAAAGGTAGTTAATCTGCAGTTATTTTTCTCTTACTAGTACAGATGACATTCATGTTCATTACATAACTAAAATTTTCAGCTTAAATAGAGATGATAGTTAACTTCATAATTTTATTTCAGGTAAACATATTTACTGTAATGAATTTTACATTTTTACAGGCACTAATACTGCAAGGTTTCAAGCTTCATATGGAGAAACATGAGAACACACATTAAAAGCACTGGAAACTTTTCCTGGAACCTCATGACTTTTTCACCTTTCCCTACAACCATTTTTAATTTAGTCAACTGTTTTCTGGGGTGCTGAACACAACTTTAGTACATACCAGCATATCGCAACTTAGGCTTTAGTGATAGCAAAGAGTCTGAAATTTTAATGACATTTTCTAATCAACAGTTTGGAATTACAATAGCTGGAAACCTGCATGATAAGAGTGAGATTCACCGGCACATCATTCTGCAAAAACTTCTTGATGCTTCTCCACACTTGCTTTGAACTCCTCCCATTATCAATTTATAGCCACCAAATTCACTTTTAAATCTTTCCAGCACTTCAGCAGAAGACGCATCTGTAATCCAAACAAAAGGGGGGCTGATGTCCATCCCATTCAGGAAGGTCTCTGAAACAAGTTAACAGGTGCAGATTGCTCTCCTCATTCTAAATGAGGTTTTACAACAATAAAACCAAACAGATAAACAAATAAACCCCCAAAGTATTAGCAATACATTGCATTGTGTTTTTGCAGGGTGTGTCTCTGGGTACAAGTTCAATGGCACATATTGTACTGTGGAGGTGAGAGGTACAAAAGATGGATTAATCTATCCTAACCCCCTGTATTACAAGAGTAACAGATAAGACTTTTAAAAGAAACACATTAATTTAAAGCTTTTTTTTTTTAGTTTATTTCTCAAGATTTACTAAATTAGGGAAAACAGAGTAGTATTATTGTTTAATATCTCAGGGAAAAAAACCCCATGCTAGAGCCAGAATTCTAAGTCCATAAAACTCTTACATGCCACTAAAATGTAGTTAGCCAGAACCTAAAAAGAGGATTTTTCCCACTTACAGAAAATTAGACATGATAGGCTGACTTTTTTCATTCTAAAACTCTTGGTGTCTCAAACACCCTTGTAAAAATGGGCAGAAAAATATATATATTTCATACTATAGCTACCACCTGCATGTCCAGCCTACTCGTCCCGTGCTTGGGTTTATGTTGCATGCCATTGGAAGGACCAGTATTAATTATGTTATTCACCCAACTATTTTCAGTATAAAAGTAAAAACATTACATATTTTTAGGGCAATTTTAAAATATTACACCACTTCAACAGTGCCATCTTCTGGCAGCTAAGATGTATTGCTGCTCAATATGCCAGATAATGTCTTATCAGAATAAAAAATGCCAACCTTTTTAGAAGCTATTTG